TACAGGAAAAGGCCAGGTGTTGCTTTCTGTAACAGCAGCTGGCAGATCAGGCACCACATGATCACTAGTTTTAGGCCAGCAACAAAAACTTTTGCCCTGTCATTTTTCTCGTCCCCAAAGTTCCTTGTTTTTGAAACAGAGGTTGCCATATGGCAAAACGTCTCCCATTTTCAAATTTGCCATCCTATTTGTGTGCTGTGACATAGCTATAAAAGCTATTGGCACTGAAATGTATTCAAATGTTGGACTTCTACAGGTCTGGAAATCTGAAAGAAAAAAAAAGGCAACATTGTATGACTGGCCAGAGCTCCATGTGGAAGAGATTTGCATGGAATAGCTGGAGAACCTTCTGAGTACATCTACTTAAAATAATGATGTTGGGCATAGTGCATGATGACCAAATGAATAACTAATTTGCATGGCATTTCCTTCTAAAATGCTGCTTTTCAGTTCTACCCAGCATTTACCCCATTGTTTTTAGCCGAATTATATCTGAGTCTAAAGATCTACAGGTTCCAGAGCAGCCCATGTTTTCAGTTTTCTTATCCAGAAGAAAAGTGAAATTTAACTATTGAAAAAATTGTTAATAGTTTGTGTTGGTTTTGTTGTTGTTGTTCTTAAAAGTTCTGTTCATGCAATATTTTGGAAAGATATGTAAAATATCTAAGAGGAAAGAAATGTGGCAAAGTAACTCATAAACTGGAAGCTTTCAATGCAGGGAAAATCTATGGAGGATTCTAATTTTTATATTCAGTATTTGAACAGCAGTTTCTAAGATATTTAACAAATTATTTATGCTCTAGTCAGAATCAGCAGCCTTTATTATAATTCTTCTATTTTTATATAGCATAGTACTTCTTTGTATGTGTATACCTTTGTAGGTACTTTTCATCAGTTGAACTTATATATGATGTACTACATTTTTTTGAGCAACTCAGTGAACTGTAGTACTCTCTTGAGAAATTAGTCATAGCTACTTTGTCTCCATTTGCTTTTAAATACAGCCTATTTTGATAGTGAAGCACTAGACATCTGATTACTTGATATTCACTGATACTGAAAAAATACCTGTGCTTGAATGTAAATTTCCCCATTGCCAGGAAGCACACAGAGCTTTCTGTAGGTCAGAACAGACTGAGGAGACGTCAGCCATGATTATGTTCCTTAAGTGATTAGAGATGCTTCCTGATGGTATCTTGGTGTTCCTTGTGTTCATTTTTGACTCATATTTAGATCACTTTCTGTAGATATGGAATTTATTCATTGATAAAACAGAAACTTCATCACAGTGTGCAGTTAATAGATATATCTGAAGGGATGCAGATGGCCCATAAGATAGATTTTCCTCTCTCTCCACTCTGACTGTACAGAGAGATGGGAGCTTCTGGTCTATTGCTCAGTGTTTCCATATGGTGAATTGAGTGGGAGTTTAGTAGAATTTATGTATACTGTGGGTTTTTGGGGTTTTGGTCATACAGTGCCTGTTCATAACGTGTGTTGTCCCAGATTGCATTTCAAACCAGAACATGTGTGAACCAGGTTCATGCAATACTGTCTTTGAGGTCACTCTGGTCTTTTTCTGCTGTTGAGTTACCATCATTATTACATTTTTTCCACAGCTCAGGCTTGTCCTCCTGGGAGAAATCCCTAACCATGTTGTGTCGTTGATTCCTGAATTCTCTACAGATGTTCTCAGCTACAGTTTTATCTGCACAGTTTTCAGAGCTATCACAGAAAGATGGAGAATTTTTTACCAGGAGATCCACCACAGCTTTTCTTATTATCTAATACACATACACAGGGTTGGGGGGAGGCAGGGATGAGGAGGGAAAAAAAATGGGGGAAAAGACAGTGCAGAGTTCTACCCTAGAGAAGTGACAAGGTAGAAGATTGATCAGACTCAGGACTTCATTCCAAGTGCCTTGGTACTGGTAGGATTCACAGCATGGCATCTTCTCAGAGCAGATGCCTGAACAGAAGAAATCTTTTATATGATTGCATATAGATTAGAGTACTTGGTTAAGAAGTGGGAAGGTCAGTTAATTTTTTTGGACTGAGGAAGACTTTGAACCTGTCTCCTCTGGGAGGATGCCTATGAGACTTTAGAACAAACCTGGGATGGTGGTCATGTCCAGCTCATGTTGAAACTGGGCTGCAATTCAGCGGAAAATGCAGACTTGGGAGAGGAGAGATATTGAGCAAGAAGTATATAATGTTGCTTATTTTGTTTAGGAATGCTAATTGCACTTGCTATTGAATTCTCTATTGGCAGGATGCATTTTGCTCAATAGCAGAAATATTCACTTAAGCCACAATAAATACAGGCACAAAAAATCTGTTTAGAAACCAGTTAATTCATTTCTTGGTTTTTTTTTTTTGTTTTTTTTTTTTTTTAATTTTATCCCTTAGTGACAGATTTCCAAATTAACTCCATGCTAGCCTAAAGAATCAGAGTGTTTTAAACACAGTTCCTACCTGCATATTCACTTACAAATTTACTTGTTAGATCTACACTATGTATGGCAGTGGCTGAGATACCTTGCACTGTCTTCCAACTGCTTAATTCAGGTACTAGAAGCCATTGCAGAGCTTCATGTGGGCTGAATTACCCTACTGAGTATCTAAAAAGCCTGGTTAATTAGCTTCCTTGCCTGTCACTCACTTGTTTCCATCTATTTTCTCACTTCAACTACTTCAGTCATAAACCTGTAATCTGTTTTTCTATGACTGTGAAGATGATACTCATAATTTACTCCTCCATCTACCCATTACAGTATGTTTTTTAAAAATTTTGATTGATTATATTCCTGAAGTTTCGCTTAAATGGTCTATGACTTTATGAAGCTGGACAATTCATTTAGTAAGTGTGTGTGCAGGCTTTCAAGAGTGACATCTACCTAGAGATTATGACAGCACACTGTTGATTTCAGTTCAATTTAGTGATAATTTCATTATTAAACCTTCATGCTATGTATCTCAGTATTTTCTATGCCCAGCAGTCTTTATTTTCAGGCATTTTTTCCTGCTTCATAATTTCAGTTTAAAACCCAGCAACAACTGCCAGTTGGAAGACCCTTACCCCTGTGTAACTGTGATCTGTCATACAAGATCTTTGTTCACTAATCCATGTCTGTTGACATCAAAGCAGAATCGAGCAATTGTGATTTACAAAGAAATATAAAATATTTTAAGGTCAAATGTTTTGCTGTATACCATAATCGCATATATTTGTGGGTTTTTTTTAGATTATTGCCTGTTGTGAAATGTTTAATTTAAACTATTTCTTATTTCTTTATTTCTTAACAGAAGTTCTTTGGAGAAAGTGAAATATGTAGATTTTTGCCATTGTTTTAGATTTATCTGTTTTAGAAAAATTTAAGAACTCAAATGTTGCTTTTAGAAACATAACGATACCATGACATTAAAGCTTTAGGGACAGAAAAAAAATTCTACCAAACTGAAAACATTGATCCTTTTTGCAGTAAAAGTGAATTTTACTGCCTTTAGCTTTGTGGAGCCATGAAAGGTGAGATGTCAGAAATGTCACAGATGGAGGAACAAGTATTGCATATAATGCTGTTAAAATTTGTGGGGAAAATACAAGCATATATTTAAATCTTGCATTTTAAAGTTTCCATTTATTAAAGAAACATTAAAACTCCATGGGAGTTTTTTTGTAAATAAAATGTATTCCACAAGGAGATGGAGTTCTTTTAATAGGACAATATATCTTTTTTCTCTGAACCACTGTAGCACACTGTTGGACTTTTTTTTTTCTGATTTCTTTCACTACTAGCAATTCACAAAAGATTGCCTGGTACATAGGTACACCAACCCATGAATGATCACCAGGGAAATCTATCATAAACTTCATTATTAGATTAGCTGTGGAGAGTTAACAAAATTTTTGCCCCCTTTCTTCCTCCTTTTCTTCCAGATCACGAGTACTACGACATCATGTAGTGCTTGTAATCCAGGGTAGATGATGCACTAGGGCCTCACAAGTAGAGACGATAGAGACCTGCTCTGAGCAAGCTGTATCTCACCTTCAATTTAATATTATCTTTATTATTACTTTTATTATTGAATTAGGAATTGGCTTCATTACTTTACTGTGTTTCTTTTGCTCTGAGTGAGCTAGAATGAATAAATGTGTTTCTTTTATTTGCAGCAATAAGCTGGGTAGAGTTAAAAGTATTAGCATCACCACACAATACTGTATCCTTTCCAAAGGTCAAGTGCAAAAAAGGCCTGCTTTTCTTAGCCAAACTTATTTCTCATGTTTGTGGGTTGTTGCTTGCAGAGGGCATCTGATGCTGCAAGTGTGACCCCCTAAACTTAAATCTTTAAGTTCTGTGTTCTAGGCAAATGTAATTTTTTGGTAGTAAGGAAAAGTATATTCTAGTAGACAGCTGTCAGCTCTTGCTCCTTAAACACTGCTTATCATCACCAAGGTTACTATTTATAGCTGACTGATGGATAGCAGTGGATCCGGCTGAGGTAAAATGCAGGTCAGGCTTTTCATGTGTGTACGTGAAACTTTTCACCCTTAATCATATGGCACTGCAAAAGAAAACGTTGCTAAAAGAGCATAGCAATAACATGGCTTCCAATATTGTTATTAGGAGCTGTAGCTATTGTTTTACATGAGTAGGTGATGATCCCACCTAATTAATACTTAGCAGTGAGCTCTAACATGAGCTGAAATTCTTTTTTCAGAAAACATGTACCTCATTGAGTAGGCAAACATGTTGTTCATTTTCATTCCAGTTTAATCCTAAATTAAAAAAGTATCCAGCCTAACTGATTCTGTCATTCTATTATTGCTTGGGATGTTGCCACAAATTTTAAAGGCTTTTTGAAAGGTTAACGTTGGCTAGAAAGAAACAAAAGCAAAATACATAACTGCAGCAATCTTACATTGCAAGCTAGGAATAATTTCTGTTAATACATTTAGATAAATTACCTGACACTTTTTTTTTTTTTTTAAATCCTCGTAGATATTGGCAAATGTAATAATTTTTATCTGCGGGAACTTGGCCGGCGCATACCACAAACACCTCATGGAGCTCGCCCTGCAGCAGACATATCAGGACACGTGCAACTGCATCAAGTCCCGTATCAAGCTGGAGTTTGAGAAGAGGCAACAGGTAAAGGAACATCCCTGTCTACTTTTCTGTTTGCATACTGTCCCCCTATTTGTCGCTATGTGATCCAGCTTTTTAATGGGAAAACACTTACTGAATTACTTAAACTTCATGAAATATGCCAACTCTTTTGAACATGGTTGTGCACAGTTTCTATCTGACTGTAGGGAAGTGTTACTGTTATTTCTGTTGTCAAAATATGTTTTTTTTCTCACTTGTTCTATGAAAATATTTTATGATAAAGAGAGTTAAAAACACTGTATAGATCCTGTTTGCACGCTGTCTCTTTTGTTGTCCTCATGGAATGAGCTGCGAGATGTACATGTGTGCTTTTGGGAATCTTCAGTTCTTTATGCCCAAAAGCAGTCCTGCAAATCACTGCAGGAAGATATTACTGCACTGTTATTGAAAAATATTTGAATCCACAATACTGATGAATCATGTGATACAGTTCTAGAGGTCAGGTTTGTTAAGAGGAGCTAGGGAAATTGCATAATAATACTGTCATTTATTGCAGCAGTTGAATAAAAGAATTCTCTGATTGCTTTATATAGTTCTTTTTCTCTTTGCAAGTTCTGTACAGTGCCTATCATCCTGACAGATAGGTGCCTCATTTATGGGAATTTGAAATACAAATCAGTTCATCAAGTAGTAAAGAAGATAGGTGCATTTTACTTTGAAGGTCACCAAGACTCAAACTTCCATGAACTGTTAAGGATCAAAGAATAGAGACACTGACAGGTGTATGTGGTCACAAAAATGTTTGTGTGTACCTCGTGTGTCCCAGCTGACCTTAATTGTCATCTTTTTTCTCAAAATAAGCAAATGGAAATTCCACACCAGGAATTTAGCAGGTCGTGTGTTCAGAGGGCTGTCCTTATTCTGCTGGGCACTTGGCTTGCATACTGGCTGAAGTCGCTACAAAACATTTCAAGTAATCTTAAGGAGAACAGTGTACAGTAAAAGCAAGTTTTGATGATTAGATACGAAATTTGCATAAGGTGCTACTGCAGGAGAGGTTTGTGAGAGCAGTCATTTATGTTTGTACCTCTGCCTCCAAAGCTGTGTGCAGGGAATGGGTTGAGCTCAGTTGTAAGGGCCTGAGTTTCTCCTGTTGGTAGCTTTTCCCTCCAAGAATAGGAAACACATTGGTTTATCTGCAAGAAGCAGACGAGTTGTGTTACTGGACACTGAGTTCAAAGGAGTAAGGATGTTTTGTTTTTAGAAAACAGTACTTACAGCAGACATGGTTCTAGCTGATGTTCTTTGCAAATGTGTATTATTTTGCTAAACGCTACTAGTTTTGATGGAAAGGCATAAATAAGTAGCTTTTGTGTACTGTCGCTTCTGAGGTCTTGCAGAAATGATTGAGAAGCTGATAGTGAAGAGAAGCAAAACAACAGGGATTCTGTGACAAATACTTCCTCTTTGGGGTTTGTAGTACTTATGTTTTAAAAATGCTGTAGCCTAGCAAGATGGAAATAAGAAAAAACCATCTTTCACTGATAAATGTTGTTCTTCTTATGGAATAATCAAGGAAACTGTACATAATCTGTTATATATATATTTAAGTGTGTGTTGTCATGTTTGTGTTTTGCTAGGAATAAATCTATCAAATTATTTAAGACATCTACACAGCCCTAAGTATTGCAGGGCTGGATTAGTAACAGATGGGTCAATGTCTTATTGAAAAAGTCAAGTATTCTGTGGAAGTCAGTGATCTTTTCAACCTCCAGTGAGCTCAAAAAGAGCTCATGAGATCTTTAGATCTTCTATAGATTTCTTTGGTCTTTATCCCCTCAACCCCTTAATAGATGTCTCTTATCTCCTGTCAAGTTTTTTCCAACCAAAAAACGAAGACATGTACTTCCATATTATCACACTTAGGAACGTTAGGTATTAACTGTGAAAAGGTAAAATGAGGATTCATTTCATAAGGTTTTTTTTTCCTCAGGATTAACGTATATCTTTGTTTGCAGACATAAATTCAGAAGTGGATGTACTTCACTCTGCTTTTAACACTGCTTGTTTTGCCAAGAAGATACAAAAGATCATCCACATTGTTAGTATTCAGGAAGCAAGTCAATCATATTGGTGACTATTTTTAGAAAACAGGGATACAATGAAACAGTAAGAGCACGGTGCATTTTAAAAAGCATTGGTTTTGATCAAAGCCTTTATTAGCCTGTAAAAGGTTGTAGCATGACCCTTGATTCTACATCTCTGTAACAGAAAAAAAAATTAATTTATTTTAATTTAATTTACATAAGCTACTTTTTACAAGTGCAGAGCATAGGATGTACTTCTAAATGGTTAGGGCTCCAGGTCAAATTTGCACATTTTTCCAGATCATGGACATCACGTATTTTATAATTGTTTTTGAAAGATGTACAATTTATGTTTCAAATTATTCTCTGAATTTCCTTTTATTTTATTTGAGAGTAGGCTCATACAAATGTAAACTACTGTTGTTTTTCAGTTATTGGGGTTTATTTTGTGCGTCTTTGAAAATAGCCTTTTTGAGAACACCATTTCGATAGATCAGTAGATAAGTATATTAAAATACACACAACAATTATGCCAAAGAGCTCAAGAGAAGCCCCAGATTCATTGTTTTCAAGTGAGACCAAAGTACATTAGAATCTGGTGAAATGGTGGGAGGGGTGTGTATACTGAGGTACAAGTTGGACATACTGTACCCACACCACTGTGCATTTCTGCTGTTGGGGCACAGCAAAGGCTGGCTGCCCCCAAAGGGATGGGAAGCTGCAGGTGGTGACACCTCCCAGCAGGGCAGGGGCCACTTTTGAATTCCTGTGGTAAAAATTAGTGTTTTCAAAGCCCACTTTGGTGTTTCTCACACACCTTTTATGTCTTTTCAGAGTTTATAAAAGAGAAATGTGGAACTATTCTGACCTCTTTTTAATTTGCAGCCTTATTCCAAGATACGTATTCAAAATAGCCTCTCATAATGTTATTTGTCTCCCTGATAAAAGTCTGGCTGACAGTTTGTAGGGGTAATGACTCACTAGTGCTGAGTGCAAGATCTTAATGCTGACAGCATTATAATTGCTCTTCTCTCTCTTCTGGGGCTTTGCATCGTGAGACACAGGAATATACACTGAGAGGTTCTTACAACATTGCAGGGAGGTGTTCGTAAGGTGTTGGTGCTCAGTGAGTTTTCTGAAATGCTGTCTTTGAGAAGGAGGCAGTATAATGATGGTTTTAGAAACAACACTCAGGTAGCAGATGAAAATGAATGAGCTTTCAAATCATTGAGTGGGATTTTAATTTTTTCACTGAAACATGGTGAAGCAATGCCATTCATTAAAGGAACTGAAATGTTTCAAAAATGTTTTTAAATTAATCTAAACAGAGTAGCCTCATACATTTGCAAGGCTTAAGGCTGTTAGTAAAGAACAGAAACATTGAAATATATTATTTGGAACTAATATATGAAATGTTGATTCCTGCAAGTTTAATTAATGCATTTTAAAAGGTAAGCTACTAATATTTTCATGAATATACAATAGTTTTTCTAAGAGCTAATTTTCCTTTTCCTCATAGCTTCAAGGCTAGTAAATGGGAAAAAAACAAACATTAGTGTTGGGCTTTTAAATTTTAGACTCCATTTATTACTTCATCAGTATTTGTGTGCAGACACGTTTGTGGTACCAGTCCTTTCTGTTAATTGATGTGTCAGCACTAGAAATAAAGCCTGTTCTGAGGAAGTGTTGAATTTTGCATGGTGGACCCTGGGAAAGATGGATAGAATATGCAAACAGTATGCAAACAGAAACTGGACAGTGTTCACTGAAGGGCTACAGGGGTACTTAGTTGACTGGTGATCATGAGAGATGATGAGACTTGGGGAACTCAAGGTATTTAGCCTGGAGAAGAAAAGGCTTGGAGGGGACAATTAACATCTGCCTAGTACCAAAGGAGCTTACACAAAAGGTGTGGTCAGATTTTTCTGAACGGCACACAGTGAAAAGATGAGAGACAATAGGTTTGAGCTCTGACAGGATAAATCCTGGATGGAATGAGATAAAAGATTGTTCCCCAAGAGAAGGGTTAAACACTGGGAAAGGCTACCTGGAGAGATGCTGGCATGTGTGAGCAGAGAGATTTTGAAGTCCTAGTTGTGTTAGATCTTATGCTTCAAGTCTTGTGAGCAAAAGAGAACACAAGATAAATATAGAGCTCAGAATCTCATTAGGCTAATTAAAGTCTTAACAATCTAATGAAAATAAAAAAAAAGTCTAGTTACAATAATAATAACAGTCACAGTCCACACTAATTAACACAGAAAAGCATAAATATAGCTAAAAATGTTATGCAAAAAATATTCAAGTATATCCCCCTTTGTCTGTGGTGTTACCCTCAATCTTCTGTAACCATGTACCCCCACCATACAGTACTGCCATTGACATGGGCTCTGTACTGAGTTTGCAAGGCCCCAGTGTTAAAACTCTCTGAATTTTTTTTACCTTCCTGGAGCTTTATTTTTACTTAACTGTAACAGCAGTATTTCTAATGCCAAGGTGGTTATAGGTAATTAATCTTACTTACGACACAGCACAAACATAGATATTATATAATAATAGTAATGAACGACTACTCTGTGAAGGATGAGATGTTTACAACTGTAACATAAGGTGGAAAATTGCCGACCTGGTTTAATGGTGGAAACCTTAAGAAATGAACACACAGAATGAATAGGGAGAGATACACGCACGTGATGACTGGAGATGGTACGCAGGCTGGGCACTGCAGATTCCAGATCTGTAACTGTATAGATCTATAAGATCTGTAAGTGACCAGTCACCACTAGTCATTTGAAGAAAGACAGACCTAGACCTGGACACAAGTGTTTTTAGGTGGAACAAAGAGCAAGAGCATAGAGTTGCAGACCAGCAAAGAAAGAGCAAGGTATAAATGTGTGTGATCAGATATCTAAAAAGTACTGCAAAGAGATCCTAAATTGAGGAAGAAGTAACCAT